TTATTGTTGTTACTTTATATAGATGTTTGTATAATGTTTGTATAATTTAATTGCAATAAATAAATAAATAAATAAATAAATAAATAAATATCATTGAGATCCATTCAGTCGTTTAGGCTACAAACTCTAACAAATATCCATCTAAACTTTGTCATTTATAATATTAGTAAGATTAGTTTGATGTAAATGTTTTCCCTTTCCCAGTTGCTCCCCTTATTAAGAGCTTGTTATACCTATTTCTCTAAGTTTTTTTCTTTGTTTGCAGGCTGATTATGCCAATAATGCAGTCATATAGCAAAGCCGGAGACTTCACTGTGAAAGGCAAACTAAAATCAGCATTAGTTGATAATGCAATATATTATGGATCATACTTGCTTATATGTGGAATCCTTCTTATATATATTGCCTTGAAACCTGGCGTTTATTTAGATGGGCCTAAAATAAAAGCAATAGCATCTTCGGCAAGTAACACATGGGGTCTGTTTCTATTGATTTTGCTACTTGGTTATTCGTTAGTTGAAGTACCAAGGAATCTGTGGAATAACTCAAAGAAGAACTACACTCTTACGTACAGTTATTTTAAAATAGCAAAACTTAGTACAGATAAATGTGAAGCTGAAGAAACTGTGGATGATATTTTGGATGTAAGTAAAAGTTTTATAACTCAATGCTTTGAACTACGAATTTTTTATACTATATTTTTTTAAATTATTGCAGTCATTAAACTCTGTAATAGCGGCTGTTGGACCTGGTCATCCATTACACCGTCATGTTGAGACAATAGTACAGAAGTTGCCTATACAGCTAAGGGATAGACTCAATTCCCGAGTGGCTCCAGAAAGACCTACGCCACCGTCATTTAAGTCTCTTGTCAATTTGCACAAGAAGGTAAGTAATTTTTTTATATATCATAAGGTGTTGTTTGCTCGAGCCCCCTGAATCCGTCGAAATGGCGAAACCCAGGAGATTACGCACATAAACAGGATATTTCCCATTCCTATACGTTTCTTCCACCTTCAAATCTTTTCATTCCCATCGTTTCCTTTTAGAAGAGAACACATTTAGGAATTTGTCGTGTAACTAAAAATTTATTTAATTCACTTAAAATACAGTAACTGCCTGAAAAAGTCAAGGTATTTATGTGGTAATTTTTTGTTGGTTAATTATCTAAAGTTAGTGAATGTTTGGGTCCTTTTAAAATTGATTTCGTACTTGGATAAACCTTTTTAAAGCGGGTGAATTATTAATTGGGATATGAAAATCTAGACGATAAAAGCACTGCACGTGCTGCAACGCACGGAGACGCAGTGGGGGCTGATGCTGGAGCGCATCCTGCACCTGGAGGACGTGGCGAGCAGCGCGCGCGCGCCGCTCCGCCGCTTCCAGCACGCCTTCCACACGCCGCGCCCGCGCCCCCTCCGCCTGCTCTACCCGCCCCTACTCGGTAACTACCCACACTCAAAAACAAATTACAATAGCTCAAGTATTTTTTTTACTACAGCATTATATCTTACTAATCTCTCTCTCTCTCTCTCTCTCTCTCAAAAAAGTTATTTGTCGTAATTGAGTCGTTTGTATTTTTTAATTTAATGTAATAAAATACCAATTTACAAAATTAATAAAATAAAAGTAAAGAAAAAAAATACAAAAACAGTTCTCGGCTGTAAGGAAGACACTCAGTTGATACGGCATCTAGCAGCTTATTTGGCACTAGATTTGCAACAAATTTCTATAACAAATCTTATTCACAAGCACATTCTTATATGAAATCTGCGATGAACTTTTTTCTTCAATAGAGTGGTACTGGGAGTGCCTGCTGCGGCCGTACTTCCTGAAGTCGCTGGCGGTGGTGACGGGGCTGCTGTCGCTGGCCGTGGTCTGGTCGGAGGTCACCTTCTTCTGCAAGAAGCCTGTGCTCTCCATCTTCGCCAACATTGTGATCGCTGCTAAGGATACATATAATTATGCTGCTATTGTGGTGAGTAAAATTATCTATTTTTAAAAAGTAAAAACATACTATACTTTTTCTTGTGGCTTCGCTTGTGCTTTCCCTAGTTCTTTATTTATGTAAGTTTAATTATAACATAGTTATTGGGTTGCGAAATCAAATTATTTTAGTTTAAAATACAACTTTTATATTTTTAAAACAGTGCCTTAATAATCTGTCATACAAATAGACAATACTGCAATGAATGTTAAAACGATTTTTAAACACTTTGCTTTTAAATTGCAGTCCAAGTGATCATTTATGTTACACAATTTAAATGTCGTTTCAGTCTTCCGCCGTAATAGGTTTCCCTTAGATTTAGTATACATTTTTTAATAAATTGAGTTAGTAATCACATTCTCTGTATCAAGCAATAATAGATTTAATTATTTTTCAGTGGGTGTCGACATTAATAATCGGGTACATGTTCTACTGCGCGTACTCGACGGTGCTGAAGATCCGCGTACTGAACCTGTACTACCTGGCGCCTCATCACCAGACCAACGAGTACAGCCTCATCTTCTCCGGCATGCTGGTGTGCCGCCTCACGCCCGCCATGTGCCTCAACTTCCTCAGCCTCGTGCACATGGACTCGCACGTCATCAAGCAGCGCGTCATGGAGACCTACTACACGCAGGTGACACCATCATCATCTTCATCACCAGCTTACTAAAGTCCCCGGTGCTACCTCGTTGGCGACACTAAACCAGACGTGTCTAGTTCTAAGATAACCTCGAGCTGCATCATAACTTGATAATGTTATAAACTAGCTCTAGCCCGCGACTCCGTGTGCGTGAAATTTAAAAAAAAATAAAAGCAAATAGCCTTAGTTGTCTTCCAAATGGAATATGAAGTGTCACCTTAACATTTAAGGCGCTGTTACTTAAATGTCCTTTTAGTATTCGAGAGTTCGGTAACATTCGGTCTCATTAATAAATCTCTACGCTACTTTTAACTCTTTTTTTTTAATAATAGCAGATTTTTATTAATTTTACTAATATTTTCCTTAACTATTCCAACTAAGTTCTAGGCTTTTGATAGTGTATAGTTCACAATTCAAATTAGTTTCCGATGTCTCCAGATAATGGGTCACATGGACGTGCTGGGTATCATAGCGGAGGGGTTCAACATCTACTTCCCGATGCTGGTGGTGCTGCTCTGCGCCGCCACCTACCTCTCCCTCGGCAGCCGCCTGCTCTCGCTCTGCGGCTTCCAGCAGTTCGTGGGAGACGACGACCTCACCACCGACCTCGTTGATGAAGGACGGGAAATCGTTAAACGAGGTTTGCAATTAAAAAAAATCTATTTGAAGGAAATAGATTTTTTTTCTTTTTAAATACCATAAATTAAAACGGGTAGTTTTCTTTCGATTTATTGAATTTAGATTAGGGAAAAATAAAGAAAAACCAATGTTTTTTCAAAATAGTTTGTGTGTAAGGAAGAAAAGATTTTTTTGTAACAAAGGATTATGATTTTAAAAAATGTCAATACAAGTACACGAGGTGACGAACTAAACTTGACGGCTGATATATTACCTGTCAAAGAAGTTACCGGTGAAAAAATGTTTTTCACATATATTAGTTAAATGCTTACTAATATGTTGTAGAGAAACGCAAGCGGCAGCGCGCGGAGGAGTCCCTGTCGCGGCGCCGCGACTACAGCGAGCGCTACAACTACCGCACGCGCGAGCCGCACGACGCAGGTAATACGATATCACATATCGGACTGTTCTAATATTAATTAGTTTAAATGCATTATCACCAGCTGTACGTCCTTACTCTCAGTTAGACACCTAGATATAAAACCTTAATCTTTGTTTTTCAATATCATCTTTCTTCTTGATAACTTACTTTTCATTTGTTTATAATCATTTATAGAACAAGGATATTTGGCCCGATGGACAGGATGACAGCTCACTGACCCTCTATCAATATTAATGATTTCAAAAGTTCATACTGTAGCTGTCTTACGTGTTATTTATTTCGTTTTATCTATGTAGTCTATACTAATATTGTAAAGGGGAGATATTTGTATCTTTGTATTTTTAAATGTATTGAAATAACTCTAAATCTACTGAGCCGATTTCAAATTCTATCACCATTAAAAAGTTACGTTACCAGAGTAACATAGCTATATTTTTTTTTATTTTCACGCAGACGGAGTTGTTAATATTTTAGTATAGAAGTTAATCCTAGTTTAGTATGATTTTCACCGCATTATTCTTCCTCATGTTTCCATCATACTATCCAGTTATTGTGCATGTGCGTCACGTTTCAGCCCACACCGGGCTATTGAATGACGTGGACTCAGATTACTACGTGACGCCGAGCCCGGACCGAGCCGGCTCGTACCAGCAGGAGCCGTACCGCGGACTCGCCGGCTCGTACCAGCGCGCGGAGCTCCCGTACCAGGATATAGACCAGAGGTTCGGGGACAGCACTCTGCCTTCTATCAGGACGGAGTTCGAAGAACGGAGGAGAGACAAAATGACGATGCCCCCTCGAGGGCTATTCGACGACGTTTAGTAATATAAGTGTAATGAGCAAGTTTTTTTATGTACAATTATGTACTAGGTATAGAATACTCTGCTAAATGTTTAAAAAAGTTTCATTTCAAACAACTTGATAATTTAAAGTGCAATGTTTAAAAATATAAAAAAAAAATGAAATTGGTTATTTCTTAGGGCAGAAGTGTTAAGCTTTAAGTTTTTTAACATGCGTGTATCTACTTTGCATATAGGTTTCTATAGAATTATTTAAAATTTATGCCTTAGTTATTTCACTAAAATTATTTTATATTTATCAACAAAACACATATTAAAAATATTGTTGATTTCAACAAATAAATTAAAAATAGTGACTTTATAGAATTTTTAGTCAATTGTAATATAAAACAGGCATCTAGTTAAAAACCAATATTATGTCTGAAAAAGTAGATGTAAAATGTTTCAAAATCTTATTTGAATAGATATAAAAACTAAAAATATTTGCACGAAGCTTTCACATTAGCTTTTTCAACAACATATATTAAATTTATATTATCAATAGATATAAATGTATTAAAAGGAGCTTATTTGACCTAATAGTGTCAAGGTAAAAGCTTGCTCATACATTTGTTAGATGAATTGTGATTTAGGACGAATAATTTTACTTTCAACCAGGTCTAAGGGCTTTTGATGGATTTTTTTAAAGTACTTGAATATCTCTCCGAACACAAAGTATAAAACCCTTGTTGAGCCTGAATTATCACTTGATAAAGTGTTTTTACTTATTAAGTTTCAAGTATACGGCCTGGTTGAGGTGCTTACATAAGTAATTAAATTGATATATAGAGAATATGTAAATTTATAATATTAGTGGTTTATTTTATGTACAAATATTAGTAAGACTCATTATCGTGGATTATATACATATGCGGATGTTTTGAAGTTATATTTCTTTAGGAAAAGGTTCATATTCGAAGAACATAGTAGCTGATAATTTATTACCTATCTTAACTATCTGTAGACGAATTCAATAGAAATAGGTAATTATAACAAACCTAAACAATGTTACCTTTATAAGACTAAATACAGACTTATTAAAAAAGATATGTCTATATCAATTTGAACATCATGTTCCAAAAATCCATACAGACTTACAAATAAACGCGGTATAAAGTTAAACTTAGGAATAAACTGAGTATAAGCAAATATTAGTACAAACTTTGCTTATACTCAGTTTATTCCTTACTTCAAGTTTATACTGCCTTTATTTGTAAGGCTGATGACAATAAACGACATTCAGATAGTGTGTACATAATTTCTCATTTTTATTGTATTCAATCAAACATAACATTTAATAGTTTATGGCATATTCATGTTGTGGTATTCTGTTAAAAAACTACAGAAACAGTTATTCATAAATCTCTGCAATTAAATAGAGATTTTTTTTTTAATTCAAAGAAATATAACTTGTGCCGCGTGAACAGGGTTCCACGCGCCCTCTTTTATATGTTTAACTTTGACAGCTACAGTATTTCGTTGACAAAATTTCAGCTGTTCCTCTGGTATTAAAAAAAAAATACTTCCTTTGGCAAAAAAAACTCCTGTGCTTCAGTGTAAACGGACCCTTAGCTTTACTATTCTAACTTATATGTAACTTGATCTTGCCCGCGACTTCGTCCATCTAATATCAAGATAAAAAGAAGCATATAATATTCTCGTTTTTCAGCTACCCATCAGTGAAAGTCAGTTCGAAATCGGCCCAGCAGAAACAAACGCGGCTTGCGGACAGACAGACAGACAGACAAAAAATGTTTAAAAACGATTTTCGTTATCAGCAACGCAAATACATCTTTCCGAAATCTAGGATTTTTCTTTTGATATTACAAACAGACAATGTAATTTTATTAAATTTATAGATTAGAAGCTGTCTAAGTTTTTCATGTAAATGTAAAGTATAGTACGTAAGAGAATTTTGTATTTAGCGAAGTGTTTGTTTCGCTCGTCCATTCTTGTCAACTTTAGTGTAGGAGCTTGTTTGTTGCTTCAGCCGCTATTATTTAGTATAGTTTATTGCATATTTAAATCGATCATGTTTTATTGTTGACGTTTTGTTCCATTCCATAGATTTATGTGATGCGGTGGCATTAAATTTTTATGTGATATTGTTTTTTTTTTAATAAAAACCCCAATTCATTTTACATTTTACTTCTAATATAAATGCAAAAGTTTAGATGGATGGATGGATATTTGTTTGAAGCCTAAACTGCTGAACGGATTTCTATGAAATTTGGCATAGATTTAGAGGATAGTCTGGAAGAACACAGGCTACTTACTTTTGTTTGTTTTTTTATTCCACGTAGTCGGAGTATTAAATAAAAATACCGATAACTAAGATGAAAAAATCATTTATTACACCTTATTACATTACACTTTGTTATAAAAATGGTAACATTACTTATTAATGTAAGTTTTAATACTTTCCACTTTGGTTCTTAACTCGTGCGAGGAATCCTTCGCGAGATCCGGCGCGTACGTCTGGTAGATCTCTTTTAGTATATTTAGTTCTTCTGTCTTGTTTAATTCTAAAAAGAAATAATACAATCATATTAATATCATAAATGTGAAAGTTTAGATGTATGGAGGGATGGTTGTTAGAGTTTGTAGCCTAAACGGCTCAACGGATTTAGATGAACTTTGGTACAGATGTAGAGGATAGTCTGTAAGAGCACATAGGCTGCATACTTTTGTCTTTTTTTTTTTAATTCCATACGGAGTCACGGAAGTAAGCTTGTTTAACAATAAACATCGAAGATTTTTACTTTTCGTTATTATAAAATGTAATTTGTTACCTGTCAGCTGTTTTATTAGTATCTCTAAAATATTGAGCGCGTCTTTTCGATGTCTCACTTGGTTACTGTTCTCTGAAATAACAGTTGCATTATGTTACCCTTAGTGACCAACAGGAATCTGAGAGCGATAGCAAAATGTGGATTTTTAGAACTATTTATAATTACGAAAATTTTATGTTCTGTTAGCAGTATAAAATAACTGGGTTTCTATTTCTTACACAGACATACTAAATCAGAGATCTATATAACCCCAAATAAACTTCAAAATATAGATACTGCTTAGTTAAACACGTGTTTTAAGATAAAAATGATGTGTTTGAAATTTTTTTATGGTAACGCCTAATATATTTAAGTGGCATCTCGCTTTTATAAAACAACAAATCAAAGAACACATACTTAACGTATAATCAACGACTTTAGCCGCATTTGTGGTGATATTTGCGATTGCTTTGTCGCGATCTGCGGAAGTAATGACAGGGGTGGCATTGGGTGCAGGTGCGGTGTCATCAGTGTCCATTGGCTGTCCGCGGGCGCGCAGCACCTCCAGTTGTGGTAACACACTGGCCATGGAGCGCAGTAAAGCGAGTTGTGTCGTCCGTGTGGAGGTCGCGTAACACTGGGCGCAGTGCTCGAAGAATTCCTGCTGATATTTGTCTGTAACAATTAAAATTGTATTCTTAGTTTATCATATTGATGAAGTATAATCGAAATTTTTGAATTAAATTTAGCTGAGCCTGAGATACACCAGTAATCAATCTTTAAGATTTAAACTATCAAGCCGTGTCCTTCATAGACAGAGAGTAGCTTAGACCACATTAGGAAATTCTATACGATTCTCAATAAAAATATGAAATAGCGCGATAATGTGTAGAATTTGACGTGTATTCCTTATATTCAAGCGTTTATTTGGTATGGGACTAAAACATATGGCTCTTTTCAAAAGTGTTTTTCATAATACTTTGGCATTTCAAGGTCATCCATACATGCCCTATCCTCGTTTCTAGCTTTCAACACAGTAAAAGAGTGTGCGTAGATATTTGTAAAGTATACATTGTGTGTGGGGGTCCTTGGGCCAGGCGTTGCCAAGCAGCTCGTAGGCGGCCTCCTTGAGCGCGGTGAGCTGCTCCGCGCGCCGCCGGCAGCTCTCGTTGTCCTCGTCGTCTGAATCCTTCTCCATCGATGACTCGTCCTTAATACCAACAATAATTATTTACAACATATACAGATAGAATATTTTTAAAATCAGACTGACGTAGATTAAATTATATTTCTGCGCTGTAGTTTTTAACATTTACAAACTATCCATTGATTTCAAGACAGAGTAGTGATTTTTATATTAATAGTGATTTTTTTTTATTTTAAGTATTTCATATGACGAAATAAACAAAAGTAACAATTAAATCCATTGAGCCAAAGTTTACATATTGATGAGTAGACAGTAACTTTAACAAAACTTTTTTTTTGTTTAAGAAAAAAATTTAGTAGATGTTTGTAAATTTACTAATATTTTCTTTAACTATTACAACTAAGCTCTAGTGATAGGATATGATTCACGACAATAGATATGATATGTGTGACTGCAAGATCGGTAATCCATATCCCAAACCATTAGGCTATTGGCGTTTTAGAGTTTGCGTCTATTAATTATCTTACTAATATAATAAATGCGAAAGTTTAGGTGGATGTTTATTTGTTAGAGTGTGTAACTTAAACGGCTGAACGGGTTTCGGTGAATTTTAGTATAGATGTAGAGGATAGTCTGGAAGAACTCATAGGCTCTTGTTTTTTTTTAATTCCCCGCGTACGGAGTCGCGGGCGAAAGCTAGTCAAAGTACCTTGGTGAGTATGAGTTTGACGATGTCATAGACGTGTTGGAAGACGTCGCAGCGCGTGGCGGCGAGCGCGCGGCCGAGCGCCGCCAGCGCGCGCCGCTTGTGCGCCGCCTCCTGCTTGCGGCACTCCGCCAGCAGCAGCGACACGCACTCGCCGGCGAGACTCGCGTTCAGAGGACCCTCGCCCTCCTTCACACTGGAATACATGAAACAAGAAATTATAGTTTGTCTAAATTTTATTTTATTCTTTTTTTTTTAAATAAATTCTTTTGGTAATTTAGTAAGGATGGATTGTGTAAAATCTGGCATCTTTTCGTTTTATATTCTTATTAATGTTGGCATCAATAGATTAATAGTTATAACCTATTAATTAAAAAACACTGTTTTCTCAAATTAATAATAACCTGCAGAATGATTACAAATAATGAAAGTAAATAAAAACTTATTACCCTCTCCTTCCCCAAACCCCCTAGAGGAAAACCTATATCTTTACTGAATTATAAAGAAAGATTTGTAGTTTTGTATGTATTGAAATAACTCAAAAACTACTCGATTGAGTTTAAACATTCACCATTAAGCTACGTTATCAGTTTAAATATATTATAAACTAGCTTTAGCCCACGACTTCGTCCGCGTGAAGTTTAATAGTTAAAAATTTTCGTTCGCCCCTTTTTTCCACCTATTAACTTAGTAGTAATTTTCGTAATAACAGAAATCTACTGATGCAAGATTCTGAATTTCTAAGCCCAATAGTTTGTGCGTTGATTTCGGTTACCTTTACTATGTTTTCGCGATATCTTTATAATTTTTAATTTAATTCAATACATACAAAAATAGAAATCTTTCCTCTTTATAATATTAGTATAGACTAACGTGCAGAGGTCTGCGAGTGCGTCCAGTAGATGATATTTCCCGTCGAAGGTCTTGCCGTGCGCGGCGGCGAGCGCGGCGCGCAGCAGCGGCTCGCGCTCCTCGCCCAGCCCGCACGACACCTCCGCGCACAGCGTCTTTATAGCAGTCGCACCCTGAAAATAATATAATCTTACTAGTCTTACTAATATTATAAATGCGAAAGTTTAGATGGATGGATGGATGGATGGATGGATGGATGGATGGATGGATAGATGGATGGATGGATGGATGGATGGATGGATGGATGGATAGATGGATGGATGGATGCTTGCGTTTGTAGCCTAAACGGCTGAACGGATCTCCATGAAATTTGGCACAGATTTAGAGCATAGTCTGGAAGAACACATAGGCTTTTTATCCCTGGAATAGTTACGGTTCCCGTGGGATTCATTAATTTAGTTTTTTAATGTTCACTCGATCATTCTGCAACGGTTCAACATATCTTATTGAATTTTGGCACAGATATAAAACAAAGTCTGGAGCACACATGGGATAAGCTTCATCCCCGATAAATTTCCGGTTCCCGAGGGATACGTAGCTTTTTGTAATTTATATAGTTTGTATGTTTTCGAATACCACGCGGACGAAGTCGCGGGCAACAGCTCGTTAAAACAATAAATAGGAAAGTTTGGATAAATTGTTAAATATTTCCAATACTGCTTAACGGATCTCGATGAAATTTGGTGATAGTCTGGAAAAGCATACAGGCTATAACTAAGTTAGTACTAAATATATTTGTAATTATAAGTCATACACACGTAAACTATTTTTATATACGAGTGAATAGAGAAAAAAATTCTATATGTACATCTGTTATGTTAATTTTTTTTCCCTGCCTTACAACGAACCGAAGGAAAAAGGAAAGGGAAATGAAAATGATTAGCACTATTTGTATCCACAGAGTGGGAAAGCAAGTGGTAGAGAAATTGTGAAGCAAAAAACCAAAGAAAGTTTTGATGAATTGAGCGAAAGATATGCTTAAGAAGGGAGTGAATTCAGATATTACGGCTGATAGATATGTATGGAAGAGCAGAAAATACTATGTTAATCCATAGTTTTAGACATGAATATATATATATGATAACTAACTCCCGCCAGGATGGCGCACTAATTCTCTAATATGTTTGTATGACATTGACAGATATCATAGGGATGGGACGTGTGTGCGGATGATCTAGTGTTGGTCCGTTCGCCAGCGTGATATCAATTTTCTTTTAGGGACAAAGAGCAAGTTGACTGACGGGGATGTGGGGAGAGGGAGAGGGAGGGAGAGAGAGAGAGGCGGAGGGAGGGAGGGAGGGAGAGAGAGAGAGAGAGAGAGAGACCTGTATCTTGGTGTTCCAGGTGGTTGCGGCGAGCGCGGTCTCCAGACGGCGGCGCAGCGCAGGCAGGTGGCGCCGCATGCCGCTCTCGCGCGCCGGGCTCAGCTCGCCCCACAGCTCAGAAAACATCTCCACGGTACTCGACTCTACACACATCATATATTTATATTATAATTTTGGTTTAAAAGCGACAATGGCGCCTGTTAATACACCGTTATGCATAGTAGAGAGTTAAATTAGTAGAGATTTAAATTCACTACCCGCATAAGATTGACTATACTAAACAATTAACATAGCTATTTAGCACAAATCTATATTAAAATCATAAAATTTTTATGTATTTGATTCACGCAATAACTACTGGGTCGAATTTAAACATTCTTTAACCGTTAGAAAGGTAATTAATCTGTGAGTAATATAGGCTGTATTGATAAATTTAACGTGGACGAAGTCGCGTGCAACAGCTAGTACTACATAAGTATTTTGACCTTTTATTGTCGAGAGAGAATCTCCCAAAGATACCTTGCCTTCTGGGGAGAATGTAGTGTTGTGTGGGATTTGACCCACGAAAACCCCATTGGTAACCATCAAGTGAAATGGAAAAATCTAACTAACCTAATCGCATTGTTAGTGTCAAATAACATAAAACCTCAGAAATAAATGTTAAAATTGCACTACATCCAAAAATAAATACAGTAGAACCTTGATTACTCGAACCTCTGTAACTTCAAAAAATAATATGTTCCCTTCCAATCAGAGCCCAAAACCTCTACAACATAGACTCTTGATAATTTAAAACCTCTATAACTTAAAATATTTTGTTTTCCTTGGACTTTAACTTATCGAGGTACTACTGTACTTTACATTAAAGCTTTCATATATCTTAGCGACTCTTAATTTCATATGAGTTACAGCTTAAAACACACAGTTTCACCTTCATCTTTAGGCGCGTGCATAGCTAAGAAGACGACCGGTGCGAGGATGTCCTCATTATCCTTGAGATGGTCAGCCTTGGCCTTGGCGATGGCGCGCAGCATCAGCGCCACCGCCGACCGCGACACCTCGTCCTCCTTCGTCTCGTACAGATTTATCAGTTTCTTCATCAACTTCTCTATTGATTGAGGCTAAACAGAATTTTATTTATTATCTATACTATCTATACTTGATATTATAAAGAAGAAAGATTTGTATTTTTGTATGTATTGAAATAACTCAAAAACTACTGGGCCGATTTTAAAAATTATTTCACCGTTAGAAAGGTAATTTATCTGTGAGTAACATAGGCTATATTTTTTAATTTCACACGGGCGAAGTCGCGAGCAATAGCTAGTTATAGATAATTCAGAAATATTTTGTAAAGTAAAAAGTTTTCAAACATTTTAAACTTTAGATTTAAAACAGAAAACAGTAAACCCGTCCAACGCCCATTCCTATAACAATAATTCCGTACCATATAACGCGGAAATTACCTCCCATAACATGGGTATTGCAAAAAATAATCCACTTTTTCCTTCATCAAATCCACTTTTCCTTCCCATCCGAAAGGATGACGGTGGAGGAGCATAGAAAAGGGAAATATCATATTTATGCGCGTCTCCCCTTCCTTCCAACATTCCAACTAAGCTCTAGGCTTGGCTTGTGGCGGAATTCGAGCCCACGACCCTGATCGGAAATCTGTATACCCAACCATTAGGTTTACCTTAGCGAAGGCAGAAACTTGTCCCAGCGCTTCCGCGTAGTTCTTCCTAACAGTGGGGTTCCTGTCGAAGGCTCCGTTGAGGAGATGTGTCATCAGCTTGCCGGCGACGGGCTCCAGGCCCGCGCGCAGGTAGTGCGCGGAGAGCACGATGAAGTGCGCACACGCCACCTTCGTGCCCAGCTGCGGGGACCTCATCAGCTCCAGGATCGCGGGCAGCATCTCCTTCATACTGTCTATCGTGATGTATGGCATGCACTGCAAATTTTAAATTAAATAAATTATAGTCTAAATTGTAATTCAACTAATAAGTAATTTTATGAATAAATCTACTCATACTATAAATGTATCTCTAAAAAATTGATAAACAAATTGGAAAAAATAGTAATGCGGGAAAGAGACAAAAACTACAAGTTAATAAAAGAAAAACGTAAAGTTGCCATTTATTTTACTCATAAACAATACTCTACGAATATCTTGCGTTGTTTTTTTTTAATTTGTATTTTGATATTAGAAATAGAAAATTTTATAAAATACTATTATGTAATAAAATACATTTCTCATAATTTCGCGCGGATAAATTCAATCGTGAACGTCTTTTCTGAGAAATCAAGAGATATAAGGGCATTGCCACACTATCGCAGCATTTTAACATTACGCCCTATCATTGTTTTTCTATAGTAAAAACGCACCAGTCTCCAGTTTGCCAAAAGGTTTTGCAAAATATATTAGTAAAAATAATCAGAAAAAAGAACAAAAAAAGAAGAAAAATGAAAAAATGAAAAAACACAAAACATTAAAAAATGGAACAAATTACTATAGCACAAGGATTACGCAACAAAAAAAAATCAGTAGTAAGACTTCCAAACCCACCTTGACGACAGTATCCGTGGTATAATGATGTTTAGTGGCATTAGCTCGCAGATCGTCGAGCACCTCGCGCGTGCTGGAGTCCGCGAGCACGGTGCTGAGGTGCGACAGGCGCGCCGACTCCAGCTCGCCCGCCGCGCCCAGCAGCGCCGGCACCAGCCGCGACACCAGCGCGCACACCTGCTGCCCGCACGACGACACCAGCCGGGATATCGTCAACAGGCTGGAAGGGACAAACATCTGGAACTAAGGGCACTCGAACACCTTTCAGACCGATCAGAGTTTCAAAAGCTATAAGCCCTGAAAGTTATTCCACATTGCGGCGATGCAGAACCAATAAGACCGAGTGTTTATTATCTGTGCAAAATATGGACGGTCAATGGTACGCGGTTTTATTATCCAGTTCGTTTGCACTTACAGTTTCTAATTGGTTGTAAGAGCGTAGTTTGTTGCAAGACACTAGTTAATATTTCTGTAAATAGAACACTGCAGATTTCCGCCTCTATATATTAAAAATGTCATTAAATATTGTTATATCGGACCTGACGCTGCGCACTTCCTTGACGAGGTTGGTGATGCCGGTGTCCAGCAGCACGGGCAGGATGGCGCTCAGCACGCGCTGCCCGTCCTTGCCCTGCGCCGCGTCGCATGCTTGCACGCACAGCTACACACACACACATTAAATATAGAGAAACAATAAAAAAAACTGTTATTGCTCATCTTTATTGTATTTTCAACTATCTTTAGCCCGCGACTCCGTCCGCGTGGTATTAAAAAAACCGATATGCTATGTCGATGGCTATGTCTTCTCCTAGACTATCCTCTATATGCTAAAATTAATTAAAAACGGCTCATCTCACGCTTTTATCCTCCGGTTACGGCACCGACTAGGTTCAGACCCTTCGGGGGTCCTTCTTCAGGGCGAGTATTAATTACCTCCTCTACATGCATGCCAAATTTCATCGAGATCCATTCAGCCGTTAAGCATACAAACTAACAAACATCCATCCATCCATCTAAACTATCGCATTTATATTAGTAAGAAGTAAGATAGGTAGTTTCTAAGTGTAACCTTGGAGAGCACGTTGGCGGTGGCGGCGGCGGCGAGGCGCGTGCCCTCGTGCACGTTGTCCATGACGCGGAACAGCTGCGCCCACAGCGCGCCCAGCTGCGCCAGCGACTCCTGCAGGCTCCGCGCGCCCCTAGTAACACCAAACACTTACACAAGCCATCCAATTATGCCAAACAACGTAACAGTGGTACAGCCCACTTTTACAAGCGTTATAAGCCATCGTTTGAATCCGTCAAAACAGCGACCGTAGACCATAGACATTCACAATTGCAGATGCGGTGCCTAATCCTAATTGACGGAGGAGACGCACATGAAAAGGATAAAGCGGGCTTTACCCCTGTTAAACATCTTTGCACGAATGGGTCGGCTCACCCGGTGAAGTACCACGACCACACAGATGGCTGGAAGGAAGTGGGAGCAATTCTGCGTACATTGTGATGAGTGTGGTGCTGGAGGACTTTTAGGCCCTTTCCTCACTTTTCTTTGACGAAAGGATGGGAAGAAAAAGCAGATTTGACGGTAGAGGAGACGAATTGGAGGGGCGAATTCCCGTGGTCGCGTACGTTTTTGTAATAAAATATTTGAGTATACCTTACCTCAAGAGATCAGACAACGCGTTGCAGCAGGACATCCTGACCCTCCACTGGTTCGACGTCAGATTCGCCACGAGGTCATCTAATATCTCCTTGTGGTATTTTTGAACCTAAAACAAAACAAACTGTAATTAAGAACTGCTTTTCCAGGAATGTAGTAAGCTAGATGAGAAAAGTCCAAAAACTTTATGCTTAAATGACAATAAAAGCTTTCCCATTGGCTAATGCTAACTTAAGTAATCATGGCGACTTTGACTCCTTACTATTTTCCTATTGGCTTGTAGATTTTGGCTAGGGACAGCCAATATACAGCCAAAACACAAAAGCAAAAGCTTTTGTACAAGTAGGGACAAAATGTCCAAAAATTTCCCCTAAGTCTAGTAGCATGAAAATATATGTCTTTAACACGTATCGTAGGTGTAGGGCATTTTATTAAAACAGGAATTATAAAAAAATATACCATAATTACTGACATCCTACATAACATAGAAGTGTTTACGCTTTATTATATTGGTAGAGGCAAATATAGATGCACTAGCTGTCACCCGCGAATCTGTTCGCGTGCAATTTAAAAAATAAACCAAAAATGAGTAGCCTATATGTTCTTTCAGACTATATTCCACATCTATGCTGAATTTCATCGAGATCCCTTCAGCATTTTAGACTACAAACTCAAACAAACATCCATCCATGTAAAATTTCGCATTGACAATATTAGTTATATAGGTTCGATGATATTTTATTAGTTACTGACCGTGTGCTGTGTGTTGGGCACTATGGCGTGCCAGATGCTGGCCATAGAGGTCTGTATGCGGGGCGTGGGGTCGAAGCGGTAGCGGTAGAGCCGCGGCACTATCCGCGGCAAGTGCTCCGCCAACTGCACCCCCGCCTGCAGCGCTATTGAATGGAAACCGAACGCCGCGCCTGGACAAATAAATATTTATTTAACAACCAGCTTTCGCCCAGGCTCAACTCTAACAAACATCCATCCATCCATCTATTTAAACATTCGCATTTATAATATTGGTATGATGTACAATAAAAATTAAATTAAAAAATAGAATAACAGATAATGATAATGTAATTTGATAATTTTATTTATTAAAAAAAAACCAGAGCATAAAGAACATAAGTTATGGAATGACAATATGTTACTTAGTACATATATACTTAAAAAGTGTCTTTAATAAAGATAAAAAAATGTAATGAAACAATGCTTTTACTTTTTCATTACATTTTTTATATAGTTACAGATCACATATAATTTATAAAATTATAATTAGTGTGATTACTTAGGTATGGCTTTTTGAATTTAACATAGTAAAAGTTAGTTTCATTAAATTCTGGTACACATACATTTTAGCAGTAAGAGTGAGATATTTACCAAGGGATTAATTTAAAAATAATGTTACCTTTCTTTGAATTCCAGACAGAGTTGTGATGTGCGAGATGCATGAACTTGTACAGTAAATCTGGCTGATTCAGATCCGAAGCTAGAGAGCATAACTCCTTATACGTTGACAAATTGCCCCTATATCAAATTTTACGTATAAATATTATTTTCCTACATTAACTATACTTTTTTTGCACATAAAGTGGAACAACACTAATATTATAAAGAGGAAAGATATATATTTTTGTATGTTTTGAAATAACTCAAACTCCTGCGTTGATTTTAATAATTCTTACAACATTAAAAAGCTATGTTATCAGTGAGTAACAAATGTTACATTTTTATTATTTTTAATCAGTTAGAACTATAGGTAATAATTTGCTATAGGGGATCCATTTATATAAAACTAGCGACTCGCCCCAGCTTCGTCTGACTGGCAAAGAATACGTCTATACGATATCTTTTCTTCTACGATATTCGGTGACAATGTAGTTTTCTAATACAGTAGTATCTCGATAAGTTAAAGTCCAAGGGAAACACAAAATACTTTAAGTTATCAAGGGTCTATGTTGTAGAGGTTTTGGGCTCTGGGAAGGGAACATATTGTTTTTTAAGTTATAGAGGTTTGAGTTATCGAGGTTCTACTGTAGTTAATTTTTTTTTAAATCTGGTGAGTAGTTTTGAAGCACATCCAATTCAAACAAAAGTTCAAATCTTTTCCCTTTATAATACTATTATACATGATATAAATGTAATGTTTAATAATTAAAATAATTAGTTATTGAATAACCAACCCTGTGGGAGCCTTCCCGAGCTGTCCCTCCTCAAATATCTTTGTATCATCAGTGACCTGTGCCACGGACCGCTTCCCGCTGGTGAGCTGGTCTATGATCTCCCCCACCAGCGCCTGCTTGCGACTCTCGTCTGAGTTCTGGTACACGAGGCTCAGACCTTTGCTCGCCACGTCTTGGACTATATCTGTATATGAAAGTAAATAAATTACTATAACAAAATAAAAAAAAATAACTAATGTTTATGATTATAATAGTAGAGCTAATTTTTTATGCAAGTTTAAAATGAATAACTGTTTGTTTTGAAAAACTAACCTAGAGTTTTCACAATAAATTATTTTGGGGCAACATATAATAGTTTTTAGCGACTTCAAAAAGGAGGTTCAAGATTCGATTGCTTTTTATATCTGTACATTGGTTACATTAGATATTTCTTCTGAAAAAAACTTACCACTATTCTCCGAGAGGTAATCCATAAATACATTCTGCAGGAGTTGCAGGCTGTTTCGTATTGGCTCTCTATCGGAACAATTCTTTAGTAACGCTAACAACCAAATACTAGTCGCCTGGAAATTAAATCAATATATTAGGTTGTAAAAAAAGTATCAAAGACATTTAAGAAATATATACATAATAAATATCATTTTTTCTAACTTTGAAATGCACTATGTTAGATGTCAAGTATAGTGCCATCTCATGTACTTATATTGATACGTTATAAAACATTTTTCGAAATTATAATAAGGGCCATATTTTCTTATAAAATAAACTAATTGAATCTTTACTAGTATAAAGCGTAAACACACAAAACTTTGTGGCGTATGACGTCAGTAATCACAGTATAATTTTGAATAACTCTTGCTTTAATAAAAAGCCATACACTTACGACACACTTTATATTTTCATGCTTTTGAACTTCCAGGTTAAAAAAAATTAGAAAAAACCTTCATGTGAGAAAGGGACCATAAACTACAAGCTGCCAACATTAAGAAAGCAAGGTTATTATGAAAAAGGTAATTTTGACATTTGCAATTGACAATTTGACAAATGTAAACAATAATATAGATTTCGTAATTTCATGCGAATGAAGCCGCATGGGAACAGCTAGTTAAATATAATTTAGTATTGGCAATTCATTTAATTCCGGTAATATTATGCTTCTTCAATATATTTTTTGAATACCTTTAACAAGTATCTAGAATTACAATAAAATAATCAAGAGAAACCTGTCTTGAATGTGGATGCGGATGTTTGCCAATTTTAAACAATTCTTGTAACAGCCATTGTAGTAGTTCATCGTTTTCTTTCAATGCATCTAAATCTCTTATTTTAGCATCACCCTATAAAAAACATAGAGCATTTAAAAATGGACTATCAAATAAAAATATGTTAACACATTTGTGATTAAAATCTCACCTCTCTAGGTAATTCAGTCCATAAGTCTCTATTTTCATTTGAGTTAACACCTTCAACACAAAGAACGAGCGATTCTCCGATTTGTAAGTGAATTTCGAATTCTTTACTCTGAAAAAAAAACGAAAAATAAAAAACCGTAAACAAAATCACTAGATAATTTCCTTAATTTTGATTAGTAATGTATAAAAAGTTTTGGATTAATAATTTTAATAATACCTCACTTCTTACTAATCTTACGACTAGTATATAGTATATATGTGGAAACCCTTACGTATAAATATCACTGCATACCTCGGCTGACACCGACATCAAAGTAATAATAATTGTACAATGTAGACATAAGAACTACAATAAGGGAGGTTTACTATTTTCAAGGAATTATTACGTTACTTTTTAGTGTACTGTTTTTTTTTTTTGAGAATATTTCGTTTTTAGTGTATTTTGTTTTTTTGAATTCTCGGACAAAAGGTACAAAAACCGATAATACATACATCTTTAGCCATTTGCAGGAATCCTTTTACGATTTGTTTCGAAAACGTCAATCTTTCTCCACAACACATTAGACCTAAAGTATACAGCGCCCTTTCTTTCACTTTAGAAGGTAGTGTTGGATTGCCAACAATTCTGAACAATCTCTCAGCGACTGTATACTTTGTTACTTCATCTTCTGTTACTATGTCTTTTTGGTTAACATTGAACGGATTGTCTGTCTGTACAGCTTCTTGTTTTGTATTAATATTAAGTAATGGTAAAGCACTGCATCTTACTAACAAAGATACTGAACTAACTGATGTACTGACTAGTAATGTCTGGGAACTCGCGAGGAAATTACCTGGAAGAAATTATAATCACTGCCAACATTGAATTAAAAAAAATCGACAAGAGTTAAAGAAAAACACAGACTAAAAAAGTTTCACAACCAAAGAAATTGACATAACTTATCTTCTATTATCATCTATAATGATATTATAAAAAGGAAAGATTTGTATTTTTGGATTTTCATAAATTAACTCAAAAACTACGGCAAAAGCTAGTACTTTATATTTCAAATCTGTTATAAGTTTTTGATTGATTATTATTTTTTAATTTCACAGGGACTCACAATTGATTATATGGTCCAATTTATTTTCCTAAACACATTCTTACACAAAACTATATTTTTTATTTAAATTAAATTAAACAGAAAAACTCACCCAAACACAAAGCGGCATCTTGATAAGGCTCCCAGTTTGACGGATTGAATCCTTTGCCGCCAAATTTGCCGCGCTTTGACAGCGCTATACAACGTTCACAAAGATGGCTGAACGCGGAAATATAACCGCACTGAGCTTCTAAACCTTTATTACCACGACTTTGAACTACGAATTCTTTTATTTCCTTCTCAATTGCTGATTTATTACTCGTATTTGAGGTTATAATCGCAAAAATAACCGCGGCAATATCACGAATGTCCTCTTTCGTGCTTGTTGTGAAGAGATTCATAAAGAATGGTAGTAGAGATACGTATTTTGATGCCATTATTTCTGGCACGCAGCCAACGATATCCAAAAAGCATGTTAGAGGCATCAATTCTGAAATTTAAAAAAAAATCTTTTTATTTTTTATTCATTTTCTGTTTTCAAATTTTGGTAGTAACTATTTATGCAAAATATTACCTGGACATGCATTAAGTAGTGACGTAATCATAGTCAGATATCGTTCAAGTACTTCACTTTCTAGTAAGTTCTCTCTGAAGTATTTAGCGAGCAGAGGTGAATTACTATTGGGATGGTTAGAGCAGTCCTTTAAGTTCGCGTCTCGGTTCAAACACATCCTCATATACCTTAATATCTGTGGACCATACAGTATTTTAATAAATACCCCATTAATTCATACCTAAAATACTTAGGGGAACAATTTAAATCAAATGACATTTTATATTTTACTACAGGTCAAGTCATTCAAGCTACAAAAGGTCACAAAGACCAAAAGATAAAAAATACTCACTTCTTGGTATGTTTTTGGATGGAACTGCAGTAGATGGTTTCCAATAACATATCTGTGCTTTGAATTTGAGCCTTTCTTTCTCTTTTGTATCTGTTCCCAGACGTAATTAACTACGTCTTTGAAACTGGGTGTTTTCAACTCAGCTATTGAATCGCTGTCTTTCCGAGCGGTGCCCTCGTCTAAGTTGACAACAGCTGTCTCTTTCTTACTCACGTTGTTCACAACGTCTTCTATCTCGCTCGCACGTGATGTTCCGTATAGACATTTTTGTGATTCGGTAACAATGTCGTCTTGACTGTTTAAAAATTAAAAAACAAATTAACTACTGGCAGAAGTAAAACTTATTTTAAGTTAAAAATAAAACAAACGCACTAAGACAAAGAGCGAGTGAAATGTAAGGTTAAAATTCAATAATAAATGAGCAATCAATAAGTTATGTGATGATTGTTATAGAAAGCTGTGATTTTCTGACAGTTGTTGCCTTGGATTTCTTTTTTTTTTTTTTTTATAAGAAAAGCGGGCAAACGA